TAGCAGATTTGGAAAGCGGATTTGAGATACTCACCTGGAGACACATTCGGCAGTATACATCTCATCTCAGATGGCCACTGCGACCTAGTATCCTTCCCTTGTGAGCAAGAAATTTTTTACGATAAAGCCATTCCTCAACAACCAAAACGTTCGCGTTCTGGAAAGCAACGCCTAGCGTGTAATACCTCACAGAAAGGTTGCTATCAGAATAGTAAAATGATGTTTTCCGAGGGAATCACTGGCAACGGTAAGCCGCTCATGGTTTCTTCGGACCAAGACCAGTACTCAAACGGCGTACTGATGGAAGTAAATGAAACATTGATCCGACCACGTTTTCTGAAACATCTCGTAGTCCTTCCAGCGGGACGCTTCTCCAGCCCACAGAGCCAAGCTTGCCCGCGAGTGGTGCCGACGACAGCTGCCTGACTTCATTGGTGAACAGGGATGGTCATCCTATTTTCCTGAACTTGACTTACCTGACCCCACGAATGGTCCCTGGTTAGAAGAGGACCTTTCGAGTTTGCAGTCCCAGTTTGGAGTCCTAGAATGCAAAGGCTGAAGAATGGCTAGGAAGAAATGGAGGAGGATACCTGCATGCCACATGCGATTAAGTCGAGAGCAAACTCTGACTTCTATCCGCACTCATAGGGGATATTTTTAAAGGCGACTGTAGCATGTTGTAGCACATAGTGTTGGGTAATGTGCATAGAGATTCCATCGCAGCTAAGAAGTTTGAAATATATTGCTATAAATCGGCGCCAGTAATTTTGGGACACCCTGTATATATATTTATTTATATTAATATATATTTACGTATGTATTTATATCCTGAATCCACAAGCGGCTTGCTTTGAGTTGGCTTCTATGAGGCTTACATTGTGGCTTTTCAGCATTATCTAGTGGAAATGAGTGTCACGCGAAGAGATTGCAATATTCATATTATGATCACTTATCACTCCTGCTTATCCGCTAATCTCCCTAGGCTGGCAGATCGGTCCGCTCGTTCTGCACGTGATAGTGGCAGCCTTATTAGACATCTAACTTGTTGAAAATAGACTTGAAAGCTCATATATACATATATACATATATATATACATATATATATGCATATACATATATACCTGCTCTTTACCTACCGAGACCCCGCCTGCCTTCGCCTTTTCAATGGCTTATATGCCATAGCGTATTGTGCAAGAGATAAAGAGCATGGTGCAGGAGAAGCACAAGTACGGGTTCGAGTCCTGTCCGTGGCCGAAGTTTTGCCCACAAATCGCGATCCTTGTGAGACTTTCGCATTGCGTACTGCGGCGATATAACAGCAGTTGACAAAATATCAAGTCAAAAGAAGTTATAATAGATAAATAATATTAAGCGTAAAGACCGTATTATGAGCGTTTATTACGCATGGAAAAGCAACACAGCACACGCATCCTGAACTCGAACCTTTATGTCACTTACCTACAGATCCACTTAATCTACTAGATGCGAACCATTGCACTGCTGCGTATGTGCTCGGTTCGGCAAAGTTTGAACATTGCTAGAGTTTTGCAGTTCAAATTAGTTTACTATGACAATCTGAAATGAATGAGATCTGCTTGTAGGAGAAGGAAATGAATTAGCGTACGGTGTGTCGATTTTTTTATGTACAAAATAAAGGAATTAGCAATGAGGCAGTAAGACGGTGAGTTGAAGGAGAATTCCTACTAGAAACATGCAGAACCGCTGCAGCACCGCGTTGTATTCAAATATCCACGCATAGCAAAATAACTCACCGCTAAACCCTTACACGGATTGGTTGTGTCCATCTCTAAATCGCGGTTCGCTGCGCCACGCGTGACGTGTGCAACGTGACCTAGTTTCACCTACGATAGTAACGAAGCGAATCTGAGGAATTAATTCAGCAACTTCGTTTCCTGACATTGAGCGCAGCTTTGAAATCATAAACCCCTACGGCATTGTACAGGGTGTCCCAGAATTATTGGCCTCAAAATTCAGAAATTTTTAAGGTAGAAATCATTTATCAAATTCACATTACCTGTTATTGATTAGTTGCATAAGAAGGTTTCCTTGCAATATGCATGGTGAAACTCCCAATATCTTTTAGATGGAGGAGGCTCATTCGATGCCACTTGCAATCATTGACACGCGAGAGGTGGAAGGGTATTACGAAATTGTTTGGGATTTTCATAGTAATCGTATAGGAGCCATTAAACGATATAGAAAAGAAGATTGAGTCAGAGGCAGACCAGGAAAGGTAGAAAGGTAGAATGTTTCTGAAGACAGAACTATTAAAATGGTCTTTCCGCCAATCGGTCGGGATCCTGGGTGACGCATGAAAAGGAAGTCGGCGGGCACGGCTTACAGGAGTTACCGCGATGGAAGCATGTCATGCAGTAGCTTCACTACCATTCCTATCGTATGCAGAAATTTCGCTTCAATTCCGATCTCAACAGACACTGCAGGGCCAAAAAATGCAGAAAGTTGCAGACCCACTTGAGTGCTGACACGCAACCCTCCTTCGTTTTCTCTGGTCGAGAAGTTTATTTACGACACCCATTCCTCAACAACCAGAACGTTCGCGTTCCGGAAAGAAACATCTAGCGTGTAATAGCTCTCGTAAAGATTGCTATCAGAATAGTAAGATCATGTTTTTCGAGGAAATAACCGGCAAGGGTAAACCGCTCGTGGTTTTTTCGGTGCAGGCGTGAAAATTGATCACGACCAGTACTCAAACAGCGTACTGATGGACGTAATGAAACATTGATCCGACTACGTTTCCTGAAACATCTCGTAGTCCCTCCAGCAGGACGCTACTCCAGTCCCCAGAGCCAAGCTTGCCCGCGAGTGGTGCCGACAACAGCTGCTCGATCTCATTGGTGAAGAGGAATGGTCATCCTCTTTTCGAGAACTTGACTCAATTGACTCCCACGAATGGTCCCTGATTTGAGGGGGACCTGTCGGGTTTGCAGTCCCAGGTTGGATCCTAGAATACAAAGGCTGAAGAACGGCTTGGAAGAAATGGAGAAGGATACCTGCGTGCCACATGCGATCAAGTCTAGAGCCAAACTTTGTCTTCCATCCGCGCTCATGGGAGGTATTGCGAAATGCGACTGTGGCATGTTGTAGCACATAGACATCTTTCATAGTCCACGACCGGTCGCTAGCGACTGGCGACCAGTCGCTAGCGACCGGTCGTGGACTATGAAAGATGCCATAGTGTTAGCTAGTGTGCATAGAAATTCCATCGTCTCTCGCAGCTGAGAAGTTTCAAATATATTGCTATAAATCGACGCCAATAATTTTGGGACACCCTGTATATCTCATCTTGAATGGTCACTGCAATCAAGTATCCTTGTCTTGCAAGTAAATGAGGAGCCAAAAAGGGAAATTGATTAATTTACAATCACGTGCTTTGGAGTATGCCAACCATCAAATGTTTAGGTCGACCTGAAACCATGTGCTCCATTCCCTCGCCTAAAGTATCGTGATGCTATGCGACAGTACGGTAGCGACAAACCTGATATGAGAATTCCTTGGCATATAGAAGATTGCACAGAATTATTAGGTAGGAGTCTCAAGGTCATCTCAAGCTCTTGCACAATTATCCTCTATATTTTTACCGTCATTCTGTAGCTCAACTCACAACTTGTTAATTTGTTATTTGTTGTTTTCTTTCGATCATCTATAATACAAAAGCTCTCACTTGTGTTAAGGAAAGCTCATGGTTTTTTCCATTTTGTGTGTATGTGGGTGTGGGTGTGTGTACGTTTGGAAAGTCGTTGTGCAGTAGAAGGATGAAATAACTAATGGCAGGGGCTAGAACTGGCCTTGCACACGTGACAGAAAGAGCGCTACTGGCGTAATATTGCAAGGCCAGGTGAGAATAGGTAGGGACTTAGCCAACTTACCTCATTAGATATGACTCGGCCGACACTCAGCGCTTCTTGAAGAAATACGCAGCGTTGAGTAAAATGGGTTTAAGTGCTGGAACTGGTATGCGAAACTACAACAATTCATGATTCGTTGGGCGGGCATCAAAGTCATCGGAGGTAGGATAGGAATTTTGCACTTCTGTACTGGAATGCTCCGAGAAATGGTGGAGAGTTGAATACAAACTAGCATATAGATAAGATATGGCAGGTAGGGAGTGCATGGAATTAGACAAAACAATCTGAACCGGTAATCCTTTTCGGAAGCGTCACAGAATATGCTTCGTTTATCCTTAGCTTTGCCTTCAGACATATTGCGTTAATATGTGTGACGATTTACCCTGTAGGAATGTTGGTAGATACACCGAATTACTGGATCGATCTGCTGCGTGAATGCAGCTACCGGTAGTGTTCAACATATTTTAAGTGGTGTCGATATGTATAATACTAGTCGATATTGGACTATTACTAACTACCCATTTTCTAAGCTGAAAATTGAACGTGGATTGAGGGGCACCACTTCCAACTTCAGCGCAAAAGGAGAGCTTCATCTGGGCGATACGAGCGATACGGTTTGTTGAAGATTTGTTGATTCGTTCGAGAAAATCAGAGAAAGAGGTCAAAATTTGTTGCAACAACTATTGGTGTCATTAAAATTTGCCGCACTTCAGCCCAGTCAGTATTAAAGGAACGTCGCTGTTTCTTTCACAATGATCTCCTGGTTCAGCATTCATAGCGCACTTTATTGACGTAAAGCTCGCTAGGATAACTTGACCATAGATAACGGTATTTTTCATATTAATGGACTTCCATGTTACCTACGCGAGAACTATTGTCGAAGGCAAAATATATTGTTTCTGTTGTTCAGATTTCATGCACGGAAAAGGCGCTACCAAGGATTGGGTGGCGCGGCTCATAGTTTGTAAAGGGCAAGCGAACATTATGAAGCGATCTGTGAAGAAGGAATTGAAACGAATTTTGGATAATAATAAAAATTCTCGGGTGAGCTTGTTTTGATCATCGTCATTACTATCGTTCTTTCTACTTTGAGGTTTCGCTTTCCAATGCACTGTCCCTTGAGCTCATTGGAAATAATGCTCTTCATTCACTATAGTTTCGAATCCTCAATCAACTCGAAACCTTCCCAGTGACTGCCTCCGCAGCAACGCCCATACGACGCAATATCTGTGTTGAGCAAATTTCCAAGCCACCGAATCCCTCTGTTGGGTTCTAGAGGCTGGTACTATTATAGGTGTTTCGCTCTTCGACACGACTTTGTCGTTCATACTTCTTAGTTGAGCGAGTATCGCCTGTTGTTCCTCATATATCTTCGTTAAGCGCGCCTCAGCGGTTGTCACGTTCATCACGGATTTGCTCACGTGGGGTCAGACGTGTCACGTTCTCTGTAGTTCGAGTCAGAGTAGTTCATTGGATAGTCTTCGCTTTAAAGACGCAAAGTATAACATTCTTTCTTTCTAGAACTTTCGTGAAATAGTCTGAAGGTTGCGCTTACGGTGGTCAGGCTGCGTGACGGTTCCCAATAAAAAATGATAAGACGGAGGAAACATATTTCCAGTTTATGAAAGAAAAATGCAAACGATAAATGTAAAACCTGTCGCGACTAACTCGCCTCCCACCCCCCCTCGCTTCAAGAGCCCGAGACATATCGTTCCTTTTGTTCAGAGCTTTGATGAACAAATGGCCATCGCGCTGGCCGCCATCTTGGTGTCCGTTCGACGTTCTAAGGGATCCATTCGGTAATTGCTCCGGTCCAACGGTCACCACAACATCGCGTAACGGACCCAGCTCACCTCATCTTCAATCTCTTGCAGTTTCTTCCCTGACCTTCCCTGGATGACGTAGCTCGATCTTCAAGATCCCCTTCTGCATTTGCAGCAGAAATTACGATTATGGAAATTCCGAGCATCGTACACTCAACAGCGCGTTGAATTATTGACTGCTTGTTCACACTGCTTCCGTAGAGTCCAAGTATCCAAGGAGTACTTCAAAGCAGGAATGACTCCCGGGTCGAAAAGGGGAGCAAGGAGCCGTATGTCTTTGTTTTCTTCACCACTCCCATGGTACGATTGAATGCTCTCTGGCTAATGCGTTTTCTTCTGTTTGGCGTCGGAACTAGGTCGTTATCATGTTGACTTTTCGACTTATCCTATAGGCTGCTTTCATAGTCCGCCGGCCGGCCGGCGTGCCGGCGTGCCGACGTGCCAGCCGAGGTAGTGCTAGGGGGAGGAGGTAGGCAGACGGTCGGTCGACGCGGTTGCGTCGCGCCCAAGCCCCTTCGAAGGGCTGCAAACAAAGGTAAACAAGATCAAAAACCATTCGCATTTGCCCTTCGAAGGGGCAAAATAAGGATCGTATTAGGTTGGCAAATACGTCCTGCCACAAAATGGAGACCTTTTTTAAATCATTTCTAAATTTTTACATACCAAACTTTTCGGAATACCGTAGAAGTCAACAACCTTCTTTTATCCTTAGAGCCAATCACTGATGCCATCTCTTCAGGAGTGAGGGAGCTGTGATTCGAAGAAGTAATTGACTGCCTTTTTGGATCACATTAAGTTACGAATTTCCTTTCCACAACGGGGTGCTCAAAAAGGCGGAGCACATGGTAGTTAAGAGGGGGAACACTCCGGGAATGCGACTGATGGGTAACCTGGAACCATGCGGGATCGTTGAACTTTTGACATGAGTCTAAGGCGAATTTTCGACGTGCGTTCTCCCTCTGTGGGGACCTGATTTACGGTCTGACCGTCCTTCTCTAAACCCGTTGGCCAAATAAAGGGGATCATAGCTGCAAGCGATAGCTGTGTCCATCTACTCCACGTTTAGCAACTCACAGTGGATGGATTCCTTCAACTTCCATCAAATTAAAGGACGATGCTTGCGTTACTGCAAAGGCTAGTATCTCCTGCAGTAAAGCGATCCAACCGATTATTGACCGTCGATCGGTGAGCAGTGCTGGCATCGAATAGATTGCTGACGTTTCGAGCCGCTACACCCGCATTTTTTCCTTGGCGTGCTTGGTAGAAGGTGATGATACGAATCGGGTGTTGTCCATTCATTAACCGTAATGCTGTGAAAGCCCACACGCGTGTCCTTATTCATTCATGTGTTGATTGCCCGGGGAATGTCCTACAAGTTTATCATCCTTGCTACCGTGTTCACACTGTTGATGCAAATTTTCAACGCTTCAAATTTTTTGTCGCAGGACTTATTTGCCAACCTAATATATCGATTGTACTGTATGAAGAACGCTAGAGCTGCAGTAACACGAAGGTATAGCCTGCGACAGCCGCATGCGGCGAATCGATTACAGAAAACCGTTCCCACTGCTCGTCTCCCGGTATTTCGTCATTATGTGTGCGTGACGTGTGCATGATACTCTTTCAGCACGCTGTCTACCATTCGCCCCCCCTACATTTGCAGGCCACAGTGCCGCACAATTACCTCTGTGAGAGAATGTAGCCCTTCGAATAGGCTTATGCAAATGGTTTTTGATCTTTATGTATGTTTATTTGCTTCAGCCTTTCCAAGATTCTACACTTTATAGGGCTAACGTTTCGGCGAGTTCGCCTTCTTCAGAGCCTGAAAAGTCGAAAAAACCATTGAAACTGACTCTATAATAAGGCGAGATAAACCCAAGACAGTTCTTTAGACTAGAGACCCCTCGAACCCGGTATACAAGAGGCTTACCTTGATCTAAATCGCCGAAGCGTTAGATCGACCATCCAGTGCTTACAGTATGCGTACAATGAGCAATCCTTCCTCCTTTCTGATCTCACCGTTATCTCAAAATTTGCAGAGGTCTAGAAAGGGCGCGAGGTCACGGGTTACGGCCATACGCTCTTCCTTCCTGTTGATTTGTGGGTCTCTAGCTGCAATCCAACATGCCTCAAGTGCTTTCCGCGCATTAGTCTCCGTTTCTAGTGCCAAGACGGTTGCCGAAAAGTTAGCCCTATAAAGTGTGGAATCTTGGAAAGGCTGAAGTAAATAACATACATATCGGTGAAAAGTCATGCCAAGATTAAAAGAAAGTCGATCGTGGTATATGTTTTTGATCTTGTTTTTCTTTGTTTTCAGCCCTTCGAAGAGGCTTGGGCACCGCGTCGACCGACCGTCTGCCCTCCCTCCTCCCTCCTAGCACTACCTCGGCTGGCACGCTGGCGGACTATGAAAACAGCCTTTCCCTGACGCGGCAATTTCGTTCCTACTGCACCACATCCCGAAATACCAACATCCATGCAAACGAAATACGGAATGATCAAACACGGGGAAAAAACTTCACGGGGAAAACTGCATCAACCTAATATGCAGGCTCAGAAGTAATGGTTGAATGGACTCCGGGTGCTAGCCATGCTATTCCAGAGTTGACGAGAGACTCAATCATTGCAGTCGGCTCCGACTATTCTCCCAACCCCTTCCCGGTCGTTTGAATGCAAGCATTTGGCTAAGCCGGTGTGCAGGATATCAATCGCATCTGCACGTTCTCCAAACACGCATTCATGGACACACTTCAAGCAGATAAAATGTATAAATCTATCCCACATAGAGGAAACGTAATCTTCTGAACCCACCTGCGTCTCTTTGCATCTACTCGGCCCAGGAATTCGTTGTCTATCCGCTACCTGGATTCGCCCACGTAGCCTCGTTACAAACCTGTTAGAGATTTTTCAGTGAGAGGGAACACTCAGTGAAGGAAACCCTCGGATTAAGTGGTGTAGTGCCAAATGGCGCAATTTCACATACGCGTAGCCCGGGGGTCGAATCCCATGGACGCTCGCCCAGATCAACCATGCATTCCATCCCTCCGGGTTCGTTTAATTGGCACCAGACCTGTATGGGAAGATAAAAGCACTGGATTGTATATCGGCGGGCTAGCGAAAGTTTTTATGTAAGTCACCTAAGCATTCATACCAAGAAGAAATTCAGACTGGTACTCGAATGCGGGAACCCATTAAACAAACGTGACTGGATGGTTCCGAATGAATTGATCTTTTAGTATGCGAGTAGAGAATAAAAAATCATTGACGAAAGCTGACCTTTCCTTAGAGAATAGATCAATCACAGTACATGTTAACAAAAAGGATTTTTTCGTGTATAGGCGAAAATTTTGACTCAGGAACCCTGTTTATCCAGAACAAACATGTTCTCGAGTAAACATGACGTGAGCTTGGCTTCTGTCAGCGTTGAGCATTTTATCGATTTTTTATCGTTTTTTCCGTCAATGAGTCGGTACAGCTACCGCTGTCAAGTCACACAGAGATAAAATCAGCAGTCATCTGTTTGAGCCTTCCAATTGCTCTCTTGCACAGGAAGTTTGGCGGATATTGAAAGTCTGCTGACAGTCTATTATTCTAACTCATTTGTCATTAAATTCTACTCTTTTCATAGTCTCGACATCTCTTCCTCGACTCAACCTCTTCCTATGTATGGAATTACCTCATTAATACCATAACAGAGTGCCATACAAAGCTAAATATTCCAGATGAGAAAAAAACTGCGGACTTTAAAACATTCTCCGGGGGATAGGTTTAAAGCCAAGCAGAAACTTGAGGGCTCTACGTCAAACAGCAGAAACTTATAGGGCACAGGGGCGGAAACGGGTAGCCGCACCACATATTGCCCTGCGATCGAAGGAAATATCACCCACTCTCTCCGTCCATACGGAGCCGGCAGTTTGGTAAATGGCTCGTATGTAAGGTTTATTTGTTCGATTATAATAGCCAGTTTTGTGCGTCGGTTGACCGGCAAACCATTTCGTTGGCCAACCCCTTATCCAAAAGTCACTGCAGTTTTGAATGAAAGTCGAATGTTCGCCCATCTCAAAATGCAATAAATGAAAAGTTATGTTCAATGACACGCATCGTCTTGCTTTTTGGCGAACATATGATCTGTCTCAATGGTGGCCTGTGACAGTTTTTGAGGACTTGAGCTTCTTTATCCTATCTTCGATAGAGGCCCCATCCTGAGTCTAGAGAAGTAGCTGGCCTAAAAGTATCATCGGCATTCCTGTCTCACTGGAAATTCACACTCACATTACGAAATCACAATTAGGACGAGGGCATAANAATTCTCCAAGGTTAAGCGAATTAGGTCATAACAGACCACATCTGAAAACCTGAGGACGCTCTCCTTTGAGGCAGGGCTTCGTCATTTGGCTCGCCTACTGAGCCCCAACGACCTCGTCCACCTTATTCCGCTCAGGGCAGGGCCGTTTTAGTTGGAGATTGGGGGAAGGAATAGGTACTTATATAGACAGTCAGAACTCTTCTTTGGAAGATGTGGAGAAAGTTTCATATTTAGTTCCCTACTAAGACTCATCGTGACTCCATTGAATGCAACGAAGACGTATAAAAAATTTGCTAGAATTCATCGAAAAGCAGACAATCTAAATAGGCGGTCTATGCAGATGTTCTAAATGAGCGGTCTATGCAGATGTGTTTAACCCACCTCTGCGTAGTGTTACGCAGCGCAACTGTGCCGCGCTCCTTGCTGCCAGCAGGAATCGGCGTTTGCAACATTGGCGAGCTTTGTAACTCAATTTCCACGTAGTCACGATCGCGGCAATTACTGTAATCATACTCTTGAAATTCTTATCTTACTCTAAGCTGCAAGCTTCGACACACGGCAAGTGCGCCCAAATTAGAACCTTTGCACAGCACGTGGTTGGTGTATGTCATCTAACACCCCATGCGCAACTCATGTCTTTGTGTTGTGCATGGGGTGTTGTTGTTCAATCAAAGTCTTGCAGTGGAAAACACGTACTGTTTTGTTAATTCCCTCGTGCTCCGAAAAGGTACCTAAGCTGTCATCATAAAAATGTCACTAGACTGAAGGCGAGTACAACAATCCAAAAACCTATTTTTGTCTTTTTAGCCGTTCGTTGTGTGTGATGGACGTCAAGAGTCGTGGTTCGACACAGTCTCCAACTTCGTATTCGTTGAGCGATTTGGTGTTGAGAAAGATGACTGTGTGATTTTCAGGCTAGTCAGGGTATACTGAAAAATTGGAAAACGCTTTATATGATTCCACAATTGAAAAGGTTTCAGCTGGGGAGACGAAGAAGGTGTGCAGTGGACTCTTGGGCAGCTGCGCAACCTGGTGGCCGATGCTGCAGGAATGCGAAAGCAACGCAAGGTGGAATAAAGCTTTTGTTTATTGGCCTTTGCAGCCTTTCGCTAAAAGTGCTACCCGAATATAAGTTGAGTAAGATTTTCAGTCGACATTCATTCAGTTTCTGTTCTCATGCGAAGAGAGCAACAACCAGTCACAGCACCAATAAATGAATGGAGAGTGAATTTCATTGTTCCATGTATTATTCTTACCTTTAAGTCATCTTATTTAAGCCACCAGTTGGGCCACGCACGCTAACGCGTGCATCACTTGTTCACAACGGCTCAACTAATAAGACCTTACTCAAGTAGAATTAATAGGAAACAACAAATCGTCACCGAAAAGGAGGAGGCTATTCTCCCACCCATTGACATTAAAAATGATCCATAGTTGTTAGGGGATCAAGATGAACAGTATTGGTAGACTTCCTATTCCATAACTGCTTCCTTATCGCGCCCCTGTGATTGATACTTCACGCTCCTCGTCGTGCCTACGTGACTTTTCTGGGCAGACGCACAAACCGACGTCCAGTAGCGCTCAGAAGTCTTCGACCGAACGTTTTTTCGTCAGTAACTTTTTTCTTGGCGGGGTAAATTGCGCAAAATTTCGACATGTATAATTAAAGCATATTTCACACTATCAAATACTCTCTGACTGCAAAGGAGCGATACTCACGTGACTAAGAGCTGTTGTTGCGGTAGTAGATTTCGCTGAAAGCAAGGTCAGCGACGTCTGCAATTATTTGCGCCTTATGTTTCTCCTTCACTGTGTTCGGCATTAGCACTCGTACACGTCAGGTATGGTAAGGTGTAAAGAAGTCCTAGAAGGACCAATGTTATCCGTACTGTCGCGTGATATTGAGTTCAAGCTATGAGGGATGTAAAACATCAGATTGCACGTTTGTAGTAGCCAGTATTCGCAATACATCCATGCTATACACATTGAAATTTCACATTATCCGATCCTGTAATGAGGGGTTACGACTGGAAAGTACGACGGGGAAAGCATTTGACCGAAGATTTTCGAGCGCTGCTGCACGAATAGACACCTAAGTTAGTGCTTTTTATATGGAAAGATGGGAAGCTCTGCTTCGATGACAGGAAACGAATATGCCCCTTTACACAACCCATCTATAAAATCCTCCCCTTGCTCCGTTGTCGTACAGAAGTAAATCGAAGGGTGGGGATATTTGTACACCGTGCATGTCTTATTTGCCTCTTACGTGTTTTTTAAGAATGCTGGCGCAAGGAGCAAATGGCGACCAATGAGTTCATCGAAGCCCTTCGTGGCCAGAGACCCAGCAGAGACTAACTAACTCTTACCGGTTGCTCATAAAACCTTAATTCGGCTACTATCCTCTATCTATCTATATCTATCTACGTGTATATATATATCGTGTCTGTCTGTCCGCCCGTCCGTCCGTCTGTCTGCCTGTCTGTCTGTTTGTTTGTACGGAAATTCATAACTCCTGTCCAAGTGGATCTAGGACGTTCAAAGTTAGTAGGAGCACAGGCGGCAGGATGAGAACACATGTGGTGGGCACCAGGACCTGAATCCGCTCACTGGGGGCGGGGTTTGTGCGCAGTAAAAGTTTCAGCGGAAAATCATAACTCCTATCTCAGTGGACCTAGAAAGTTTAAGTTTGGTAAGAATATCTGAGTTAGGGTGGGAATACATATGGTGGGTGGCAGGACCGGACTCCGCATACAGGGGGAGAGGTTTGTGCGAAATAAATGCTTCTGCGGAAAATCATAACTCCATTTCAGTGAACATAGAAAGTTCAAATTTATTAAAAAGTAGCCGAGGCAGGGTGTGAACACTAATGGTAGGTGGCAGTATCGGGCCACATGGGACGGGCTTGCGCCAAAATTGTCAATTTGGCCCTAGGGCTTTCAAACTTGGCAGGAGCATAGGCGGCAGGATGAGAACACTTATGTTAGGTGGGAGGACCGGAATCCGCTCACTGGGGGCGGGGTCTGTGCGAAATAAATGTCTGAGCGAAAATCCAAAACTCCTGATCCTGTGAACTTGGAGTGCAAAATCAATAGCAGTATATGGGACAGGATGGAAACACCGACAATAGAGGGGGCCTCAGAGAACAAGATTCAATCACCAACTAAACCCTATCGCCTTTATTGCCGACGATCTAGCTTTGATCCTTGATTCTTTGATGTGTTCCATTCGACAAAAAGGGTGAGTGCACTGATAGGGACCGAAAGAAATTTGGTTCACTTCTTGCTCACGACCGCTACCCAGCGAAGTTTGCGATTTAATGAAGGATTACGATTTCTTTCTGCTTTGATATCGTTTTATGGAAAACTTATCCGACCGCTAACAATCTTGGATTCTCATTCAATGATGTATCCGTAGAGAAAAGGAGCTACATTCATGAACACATTTGATAATGGTATTATTATGACTTGACAATATCGTTCCAAAGAGGGAGTGTGCTGTTTGCCGTTTATCACAACTATCATAAGGAGGGAAGCCCGGCGTTAGCCGGACGGTCCTACTGTCTCTATATATAAAGCGGGAATTTTTTGTCTTTTGTATGCCCGTTTCTGCCCCTTCCGGAAGTCACTAAGGCACGATGAAGAGTGTGAATGTCACGTGAGCGTGGTGAGGGAGCAGTCAAGAAATGGGAAGTCAACCGATACTGTTTATATTGGTCCTCTAACAAGTCGTAGGTAAGCGGTAGTGAGCATGAGGTGCACGCATTAGCGTACGTAGCCCAACTGGTTTTTTATATCGCGAGAGTTCTGATAATGGCAATTCAACACGTGCGAGAATTAAGTAGCAAACAGCTCTTAGAATAGTGAAGAGTCCTGTGAAGTGCACTACAGTTTTACAGATTTTTCTGTAAAACTATGATATTTCTCAGAACACTGAAAAGTCACTGTAAAGCGCGCCTACTAACAAATTTCTCTGTGAAACTATGATGTAAGGCTTAAGAGATTGAAAAGGATAAAAGAGCACAGTCTCAAGGCTTATCCTTGTCTCATTACCGTAGTGAGATACGCCCTATATTTAGTTCCCATCAAGGTACCTTTTTCCTCTACAAATCGGCATTTACTGTTACGCCCATTAGGTTTTCTGTTTGAAGAAATCCCTAGAATCTATATTATATGTTGTAGTTAAACACATAACTCCTTTTCATCAGATTTGCGCACACTGGATTGTCGACTTTCCTCTGTTTTCCATGGAAGACAGCCAGCTAATTTCCAATCATCATCCGTTCACGGCTCCGATAGAGAAGCATCGAGAATGGCTGAACGATGAAGAAAAAACCCTGGAAATTACTGGTACTTTTTACTTTTTGAATGTAAACAAGATGGTTCTGGGGTAAATGCCCAAATTGAAAGCTCGAAAATTTACGAATCGTCACATCTCCGCTGGTACCGTCGATATACTACCAGTGCGATAGCCCCGCTAAGATTGACCAACCACCTGCATTCTTCCTTATCTGAATGAATGTGGTCCAAGAGAACAGGAGTTTTAAACATTCAGCGAAGCACATACCGGCACACTTAGTGTGAACCCCGCCTGCCATGAAGGAATTCCTGCTCAGGATATAGTACTCATGTGTCTGGGTAACTTGGGTCATTCCTTACTTATTCCAACTTGGGTGCGTATTTTCACCAAGATTGCACTCATTTCATGCAGGCTTTGCCCTTCCACCCTCGAACGCCTACGCGGGCGGGATCCGGTTCACTCACTCTCTACCACATTCCATCAGTGTTTAAAGCTGCTGTCGGTACACGTAATGAATTTTAACGCCCCAGTTACAATTTACCATCTTTCGCGAAGGCCGCTCTCCTGCGGTCAGTCATGTCAGATCCATTCATCATTTCAGTGCTGCAGCCCATACTCCTATCAAACTGTAGCGCTCCAGATTCAAATCGACGATTTTCGACATTGAACTTCATCCAGAGACATAACCCCTGTCCCTTATGGGTTAACACTCAGGACAAAGTTAGTGTCGCCATCTACCTTCAGTGTTCCCATCCCACCGCCTGTACCTCTTCTGAATTTTCATCACTCTAACAAGGGAAGGATACTGGGTCGTAGTGGCCATCTAAGATGAGATGTATATCGCGTATATGTTTCCAAGCGGGTATCTTCAATCCACTTTCCAAATCTGCTGAACGAGCCATCAGAGTTATGGGATCATTTCCCCCCCCCCCCCTATGTTTTACGCACCGAGTTGCCTGTATAAGCGAACCGAAAACAAGACCGAATGTGCGGCGATGGAGCAGCTGGTACGACGACGGACTCTCGGAATGGCCATGGAGGTTCAGATCCTAGACACGTGTGCTCGTTTTGCTTTTTTATAACCTAAACGCTTGCAAAATGCTTCTACGCTGCATATCCACCATCTACAGGCCTCCCACGCATTTGAGGAGCAGTAGAAGGCAAAAAGGGAAATTTTTTGCCCCCTATCGGTTGTGGAACATGGGTGTATTTCAAGTCCAGAAAAGAGGAATTGCGAAAGCATTGCTCAAAATGGACTTGCGAAATCTTGGGTAATTTGTGATGTTTTCGACAGAAAGTTGTCTTATGGTCTGTTGTACCAAAACCCTCTTACACATATTACCAACGAGATGTTCTGTCCGAAGGTAGTGTCATCGCATTTTTTAAAGATATTCGCTCCCTGTGACGAAGTGCGAGCACCATCTAGGAAGGAACGAAAGATAATAGAAAGCTTTTTGTCTATATTACGGGATGCTCCATACGACAACTTCGTTATCGATTGCGAAGAGGACGATTGCGTAGAAGACGACCACAGTGACCCTTTCTGGTCAGCAGATGATAGCGACGCCGACGAACGACCCGGCACATCCATAGAGGGATCATCGTACGTTTTTAGAGATATGGGGGTTCAAAGGAAAAGGTAGCCCTCAGCTCAATATTTTCGCCCGTGATCTTTGGTTCAGTGATGCAGGTAGAGGAAGCCATAGCATTTCATCGGTCGAAAGCCTCAAGCCGCACACTTCCATGAATGAAAAGTATGTTTCGCTCCATCACGACAGAATACCACTTGCGGAAGTTGAGGGAACTTGAAAGAGATCGTGAGCTTTCCTATTAGTGTATTTTTGACCATTTTCGACCACTTGTATGGCTGTAACTATTAGGTGCAAAGCTAGAGGATCGATCTATCAGACGTTCGAGGTCAGTCAAGAAGATGAAAGAGGAAGTTATGGCAAAGCTGAATGTGGGGATTTCTTTGCACGACTGTGATATTCACCGTATGGCGCTGAGGATTTGTAAGGAAGGTTCCATAGTGGATAAATACAAAGCAAGTCATAGGTAGATTCAAGGATTGAAGTTTAGCTGTGGTATCGTATTCAGCCGCATCACCACGTTTAATTCGAGTAGGGGATTCCTTGACAAAGACCGCATATCCCGTGAGGCTATAATTTGTTCTCGTTTTGAAGGACAGGTGTCGGTGTGACACCCGACGACCCCATTAAGGCGTTTTTAAATTGTCCAGAAATGTAGATCGGCCCCTGGATACAATATGCGACGAGGACCAAAGCGGTTTGTGAAAGAGTTGCATTCGGCGGGGACCCTTGCTTTGAAGCGACAGAAGAAAGTCGAAAAAAGTGGCACAGTCGTCAGCATTGTCCCACTCTTTTACCGTCATGCCGACCCTCTTTGCAGATGGCCACCTAACAAAGAAACTTCATGTGGTAATGCAGGTTAGTGTTCCCAAAAACTATAGGTAAAGTTCTTCATCGCTGTCTGTTCTAACAGGAACCTAAAGACCGATTCCCCTACAAAGGTTGCTTTATGCTCCAAACTTGGAGGTCAGGGCAAGTACATCATGAACAAGGAGCTGATGGTGGACTTGGTCAGGACCTGCGTTGGATTTGCCCTCGTCTCTTCTGATTGTCGACTCATGGAGCTCATTCACGGGCCATGAAGCAATTCAGGGCCCTATACCAGCTGGCGAAGCGATGAAATTGCTTAACATCCCGCCTGGCGCAACGCCCCAAATTCAACCTCTTGTTGCATATTTTTTCTTGCCATTCGAAGCCATGTTTGAACGTATCGTATCCTATGTTATCGCTCATGATCTTATTTTCCATGTTAGCAACAGCGACTCCATAATCCTCATTTTTGTTCTTGTTTAGCGCACCTAATTCGAAAATTTTCTCTCTTATTCATGATTTGCAGCAGGCTACCTAGATACGGGAACCCCTGTGCAATATTGTTTCTCACCTCATCTGGGCGAGAATTGTGAGAGTGATGGGTGTGATGAATTTTTTCTTACGTTATTCCCATTGTGAGGAATTTTTGTGCTTCCAACACTTTGTATTGGACTATCATATGTGTACATAAATTGCTCATCCATTGTTCCGATAGCTCCTTGTAAAAACGTCATCTAAGACTTACTGGTTCATTTCTGGCCAAGGAGAGGTCATTGCCCTAACAAGGAGTATACCGGTCAGATGAGTCATCCTACCCCCCCCCCCCCCCCCCTCTGTCGGAAGTGCATGTAGCTGCCATAAATTTCGCAACCTCATCGAATGTTTGAGATAGGACTGCACCTCTATTCGATGGTGGGTGGAACTCTCATTGTATTACCTTTACGGTTTTTCTTTCTCAAATGCAGGGAAGCCTGTAGATGGTTCATGGAAGCATTTTGCAAGCGTTCAGGAGACCTTTTTCCAATAAACAAAGCGAGCACACGCATCAAGGACCCGAACTTCCATGTCATCCTGAGAGTTCGCCGTCGCCATCGCCGCACATTCGGTCTTGCTTTCGGTTCGCTTATATAGGCAACTCGGTGCGCATAACACAGGGGAGGAAACGGTCGCATAACTCTGATCCAAGACTAGTTTAGCAAATTTGGGAAGTGGATTTGAGAACACTTGAGAACACATACGGCGGTATACATATCATCTTAGATGGCCACTGCGACCAAATATCCTTCCCTTGTAAGTCCACTGAAACAAAGATTATGATTCTGCGATCGGAGACTCTCCGGCACGTACACAAACACGCACGCGCATGTACAAACACAGATAAGTGTCTGGAGACAAGTCTGGTGCCAATTAAGCGACCCAGGAATGGTGAAAGACTTAGTTGCATATATAAAATATCAAGGTGGTTTGAGGCGCTTCAACATGAGCTTTAGGTAAGTATAATTTTTAGTATTGTGTTTGCAACATTATTTAATATTAATTTGCTTTGTAAAATTACACTTATAAACTTTTTATACAAATAAAACAATAGTAAGAGTTTTTGCTTTGTTTATGTTTTTATATGTGTTAATTGAATCATTTTTTGGATTATCCTGATGTTTATTCTATTTGAAATGTAATGTCATCTTCTACCGGGGTGTCCTAAAGTTCTTCCGTTCACACAAACAAACTCATATGTTCTAAAGAAATAGAACTACTACGCAAATTTTTTGTAGTACACATAAAATTAATACCATCCGGGATTCGAACCCGTTACCATGCGTATGTGAAGTGCGCGTGCCACTACACCGCCTCCTCCCAAAAAGACATAAGTTTTTAAAGTCGTCAAAAATGATTTGACTCAAGACTGGGCAACTTTCGGCTCCATTCACTGAAGTTTCTTTGAAATAAGGGAAACTTCTAGGCTCCCGTTTTGTCGGAAAGAGGTTTAATCTCGGTGAAAAGACGTTGCCGATCACTGCTAGAGACGGACGTGAGTAAGATGACGATTGTATGATGCAAGGTTCCAATTGTATACTCTCATCAAACTTCGGGGGTGATTCTCTAATGTGTGCGGTTCTTCTTGATCCCTTCGATGATTTGCCTTCAGTGTACTAGGTTCAGCAGAGTGCAGGTAATATCAGTAAAACACTGTTTCGGTTGAGACTCGAAATAGGAACTTTTCCTTGAAATGGGCAGCGTCGTTATATAACGCTTACGCTCGAATAGTTCCCGACAGACAATGTGACTTTATTAGAATGAGCAGAATAGGTAGGCACCTGAGTATTATAAATAGCCTATGGTGAAAGTTTCGCTTGCTGTGCGTATGCAAACAAACAATAGTGGGCGAAGTTCCAAAGCTCGAACAGCGGATCTTTTATGGATGGATACCCAGTGATATAGGAACTTGCAACTTAGGCAACTTACATATTCTTAGGTTGACGCTATACGATAAAATGGTGTTCCTGTCAGTTTCTAACTGACGTTATGTGATAATTTTTTGTGATTTGTCTGAGTCTCTTACTATTTTGCTTTACTCTTGTGTATAGCAATTTCATGTAAAATCATTAAACCAAACTATTATTATTAAACACCTATTTAGATAGCAGTAACGTGGTGTGTCAGTTTGTTGGTCTGTCTGTCCGCAAAACTTTATGATTGCGATAAAGGTGGTGATATGGAAAATCCAGCTCTTACATTTCCTTCTTTTATGTAAACCACTAACTTGGTGGTGGGTAGGTTAATAGAGGAGGAAAAATACTGTGGATGACGTAAGAAATGTGGAGTTAAGTAGTACTTCGAAACTGCGATTTTTATCTGTATTAGCATCGCGCTATGTATGTCTATACAAAAATCGGAGGCAGTAATGCTGTCGAGAGACTGCTTTTTTTGACATTGATCGCCAAGTTAAGGAGTTCGGCCCATAAGTCTGTTTGGGAGCACATCTTAGCCGAGATCATAGTCTTTTTATCTGAGCTTCAGAAGGAAAGGGGCACCGAGATGAATGGCCAACCATATTTAACTATTCAACTCATATCCCATCCTACCTTCAAGGTCGGCTACCCATCCCTCATCCTTTTTCGCATTGAAGTCCTCATTGTTGAGTGATAGCGAAGCCTCTTCTCCCTTCTCCGTAACTACCTTATTTTCTAGCTATTTTTAAAAGAAAGAAATGAGGCGTAAGCCGGGCGACCCGTCTGTTTCACATATACAGAGAGTGCAAATTCGTTAGGAGCACGGGGAGCAGGATGGAAATACTTATGGCAAGCAGCAAGCCGTGCGCAGAGTAAATTTTGAGGGGAAATTCGCAACATCTGTTTCCGTGGACCCAAAGTGTTCTAATCTTGTAGGTTTTAATAAGTGATGCAGGATATGACGGGGTCGTAGGTACTCGGTGACAGGAACAGATATCAATTGGTAAAAGAAGATAGGAAGCTTAAGAGAGCAAGAGCCGTAGAGCCGTCTACCGATGAAAATCCTAATGCCTTCGGTATTTACGATGTAGCTTTAACTGTTCAGTATGTTTTGTTCGATAAGACGGGTTGGTGAAGTAGAATGACAAAAATGAGTGGTAAGTGCAGTGATAGGAACTCACTAGGGGGATCGCTACCCAGCAAGGTTTGTGACTCAAAGAAGATCCTCTTTGCTCGATATCATTTGCCACAAAAGCTAAAGGTACAGTTCACGATAAAAACAATTTCTGAGATTCCCCCATAGGATGAATCCGAGGCCCCCTCCTATACCATATCTGGCGCTATCAGGTCGTAAAACGGCTTAGTTAGGGAGCTATGAAGGCTCAAAGATTGGCCCGTGTGTATGCGTGGACGAGTTTCACCGGCATTGTAGAGGTTGCACCGTTCACAAGGGAACCCATGTAGGAAGTTCCAACTACTTGTCATGTCCCATAGCGACAGTGAAAGGCAGTTCTGTACATTTTTGGCTTGACGTAGTCGGCTCGTCTCTCGTAAATCCCGTGTGAATACCCCTTCCATGTTATTTCCGTCATGGCAGTCGCGTCCAACTTCTCAACTAATGATACCTCCATGAAGAAAAGGGTTCATTGATACGACATCTGATAATGGTGTGATCACCACTCAAAACATTTGTGAGTACAGCAAGACTTTAATTGCCTGACAAATGATTCTTTACTGGGTAGTCCTTTTTAAGAGATAGAGCGAAAGAGTGAGCGTTCCGATAAAAGGCGTAAGCACCAAAGTTCGTATACAGGAAAGTATTGTTTCAAAGAAGGAGTGGGAAGTTAGTCCATTACTACGAATTTGCCGAAGAAGGAGGGAAGCCAGCGTTAGCCTGGCGAACCGACTGGTATATACAGTTGCGCTCAAAAGTATTAGGCCCAGCTTTTTTTCTCATTGGAGCAAATCGCATGGAATTTTTATATGTTTAGATGAAGCATATTTAACACTGTCCAAAACTACTTGACTGCAAAGCAGTCGTATCCACATTCTAATGGGGAGGCGTTTGTAGACTATGCTGAAAGCAAGTTTGTGACGTCTGCGGTTATTCGGACCTTATGAACGTTTTTCATCTCTTCTGGGTTCGGCACTGGCGCGTGTACACTTTAGACATGGCAAAAAGGAAGGAAATTCCAGAAGGGCTATGTTTCGTATTTTCAGTTGATTTTTTGTTCAAGCTTTTTGGGTATCTGCAACATGATCAGATTGCAGGTTGATAGTGGTAAATATTCACACTACACCCATGCTACTACACATATTGGAATTTCGCATGAATAGATCCAGTAGAAAAGGAGTTACGACTGAAAAGTGCGACCGAATAAGCATTTGGCCAAACACTTTTGAGTGCTACTGTATATCCTACTATATATTATTCGATAAGTGTGTCTGTTGATGTGTCGGTGTGTTTGTGTGTGTGTTGTGTATGTGTGTGTGTTGTGTGCGATGTGTGTGTCTATGTGTATGTCTATGTGTATGTCTATGTCTATGTGTATGTGTATGTGTATGTGTGTGTATGTGTATGTGTATGTGTATGTGTGTGTGTGTCGGTGTGTGTGTCCGACCGGAAATTCATAACACCTGTCCCCGTGCACGTAGAGCGTTCAAACTTGGTAAGACTACGTGGGGGCAGGATGGGAACGCTTCTGGCAGGTAACAGGATCGAACTGCGTCTACAGGGGGCGGGGCCTGCGCGATAGAAGTTTTGGGCCGCAAATTCATAACTCCTGTTTACGTGGATCTAGAGCGTTAAAATTTGTTAGGTTTACACATATCGTACTAACAGTGGAACCTCAGCAGTTTGGTAAGTAATGTAGGAAATGACGGGATCGTAAGCACTGGTGATAAAAACTGATCATAACGATAAGAGAAGATAAGGGATCCAAGAGAGGCCAACTACCGATGAAAATTGACCATTCAGTATGTTTCATTCGATGAGACGGGATGGTAGAGCAGGGTGACCAAAGTGAGTGGTAAGTGCAGTGATAGGGACCCATTAAGGCACTACGATAAGCAGATTAGAACTTTGTTCATTTCTTACTATTAGATTACGACCGCTACCCCTGGAATTCTCAACTAATGATATCTCCGTAGAGAAAAGGGCCCATTGATAAATTACGTTTGATAACGGTGCTATCTCCACAGCAGAACATCTCCACAGCAGCATCATCTTTGGTTGTCTAACAGTTGGATTTTTGATGGGTATTCTAAGAAAAAGAGCAAAATTTCGAGACTTCCAATCAAAGGCGTAAACACCGACTTCAGCTGAATACCATTTGCACTGCCCTGTTGGTCCTGTGTCAAATTTCGTGTACAGGAAACTGTTATTTGTTTCAAAAAAGGGGTGGAGAGTTAGACTTACTATAACTTTATCAAAGAACTAGGGAAGCTTTCCATTTCTGTTGTGTCAAAGGACATCGAGCTCTGTTTTAGTTTTATACTCTCACTCAGCTAACAGCGGAAAAAACTTAAACTCAGCTAAACAGTGGAAAAAACATAAAAACTATAAACTTTGAAAAGGGGAAAAAATCTTCAGATCAACATTTCCCGGGATAGGGTGTTTGACACAAGAAGTAGGGGACCCTTGCGTTAGCCGGGCGATCCGACTGCTATATATACAGTAGCGCTCAAAAGTCATCGGTGAGTGCTTTGACGCTTTTTCGTTCATAACTTTTTTCATAGTAGACCGAACGACACGAAATTTGGATATGTCTAACTAGAGCATACGTATTCCACCCTACCCAACCCTATTTCACTGCAAAGCTGCAATATCCACAGGTAGAGTAAGGTGTTTGTTGCGGTAGCACATTTTGCTAAAACTAACGTTGTCGTAAAGTCGTCTGCACTTCGCACCTTATGTGCGTTTTTCACATCTATTGTGATCGGCGTTACCGCTCGTACACTTTTGACATGATAAAAAGGAAAGAGATTCTAGAAGGACAATCATCTGTATTTCCAGTCGATTTTGAGTTTATGCTCTTTGGAATATCTGGAACATGATCAGATTTCAGGTTANTAGTGGTAAATATTCGCAATACATCCACGCTCCAAATATAGAAATTTCGCTTGATTAGATCCAATAGGAAAGAAGTTACGACTGAAAAGTACGGCTGAAGAACCTTTTCACCGAAGACTTTTGAGCGCTACTGTATATATGTATAATATATAAATATGTATATATATATACATACATATACATCTATAACATCTATATATGTATATATACCAGTCGGGTGCCCGGCTCCGGGCCTCATTCTATACTTTCACAAAGCAATAAAAAATGTGGTCAAGGGAGGGTGGAGAGAGGGCATCCTCTTTATTCAACGCTGAGGGCTTGAGTGCAGAGAAGGATGGGTAGCCGACCTTACATGTGCTTCGAGTCGGTTTTAGACGAAGGAATATGATTTTTACCAAAGTCTCAAGAGGGCAGGAGTGCCGGGATGGGGGTGCAATGATCACCTCGCGCAAAAAGCTAGGGTACTAAGCTTACCCACCCCGGGGCTCCTTTCCTCCTGGAACTAACTTCCAGAAACTAAACGTTACTCGAAAAAGAAACGTTCCTGAGTACAATTATGGCTATTACCTGCGCTCTAACGCTCAATGTGGGAAAAAAGAAAAGGTCTCCCAACTACATTATCACCTCCGGTTTTTGTAAAGACATACATTTCACGATGCCAGTACGGATGAAATCTTAGTTTTGAAGTAACCACTCCACTCAAGATCACCTTTGTCGTAACCAATAACCTTTATGGTAAGTTTTGCGGACGGACAGCCCGACAAACCTACATACCGACATAACGACAAGCCGACAAACCAAGTTACTACTTCATATATAAGAGGGATACTGCCATTTCGTGTTTGTCTGTGTCGCCTTTCTAGGAGCTGAAATATTCGTAGTCAAGAAAGGGCGAGATATGGTTTTATCACACTATACAGTGCATTTCCTCGTTTCATATAATTCTGAGTAGGGCGAAATGCCCTTTTTTTTCACTGGAGGTGTGTTTTTAAGGTCAGCATTACGACCTGGTTATAAATGGCGTTGAAATCGGTGGTGGCTCTATACGAATACACGATTCGGAAGAACAGGCTCGAGTTCTCGAAATTCTCGGAGAGAATACGCGTGAGATGGTTTGTATTGGGAAGCTACATTGTCTCCACAGATTTTGAACCAAGAATACTATACAGATGAGCTTATTTCAGGACCACCTTCTTCACGCTTTGTCTCACGGTGCACCGCCCCACGGGGGATTTGCCTTGGGCCTGGACCGCTATGTAGCACTATTGCTTGGTCAAGGAGATCCCGCTGTGCCGGTTCGGGAGGTAACTTTGAAGTCATGACAACATTATTTCTTCTTTCTTTGTTTATCGTCCGCTCTCCTTTTGTGGGGTTCTCTCGAGTTGAAGATTTTTAGCCCGTTGGTGGCGAGGCAATATGGCGCACCGGCGGATAGGGGAGTGAATCACGGATAAATTTTATTGGCACTTGCCCTGAGGCGCAGATACATTCAGGTTATGGACTTCCTCGCAGGTGTATCTATGCAGACGGGTGTGGATTTTCGGGTGCAGATGGCATCCCTCTACATCAGTTCAGCAAAAAACACGCAGTCGAGTAGAAGGGAAGTAACCCAGGAGATGAACTAAGGCCGAATCCTAAATCAAAATCCTCGTCAGTTCTGGGTTAACCTGACTTGCTACCCGGAGTCTACCCAGACCCCACGTTGAAGGCTGGCAGGCACCTCGCGGGTACCCATATGCTTGTCAAAAACATTAGTATAAATAGGCCTCATTTTCATGAACCTGGAAAGCGTTTGGTAAGACCGCTTAGGAGAGGCTGTTGATACCTCACAGCTAAAACACGCTGCTCAAAAGGTGAATGACCAGGATGGCGATCTGTACTTCCCGCTATTTCTAGGCTGTCGAAGACCTATTCCTCGAAACATGTGACAGCAGAGGTGTCGGCAATGCAGGCGTGCTTGCCAATACGCATTGGCCATGAAACCAATTCGTGCTAAAGTTCGACAACCCGACCAGGACATCTTCGATTGAAAAGACTGGCTCAATCTCAGCTCTAGCAATCTTTGTTCCCTATATATCAACATCAAGATACGAACTTGGAAGTCAGTCGGGAGATTAATTCCTATTGAAATAGGTCACATCATCTTTAATCAAAGGTTTTGTGTGACTGGCGTCGTTAGTAATCTAAACGTGAGCATATCATTGTCTTTTCTATGCTCAGCTCTGTTCTTGAACGCGTAGTTAGCGAGCTACGGAATGCAGGATACGAATCCTGAAGACCGACATTGACTGGTGCCCATTGAGCATCTTCACGATAGTGCTAAAGCAGAGTGCTTGATGTAGCCAAAAGACGTCTCTTGTTGAAGGTTTTCGAGCTGCTAGGCCTGCGTGAAAATCGTGGTGCAGCAGAAATTTTGAAGCTATTATATGTAAGGAAGCGATGAGGGTTGATCTTATAGATAAAGTGCGAAAGTTCTGGGCGAATCCGTCAAGACCGAGAAGAGCATTCGCAAAGACCGCCAGAGCTTCGCCAATACACGAACAAGATGACTTTTCTTCATCGTCCTGACGCAACAGTTTCTACGTCTAGAATTGCAGTGGGCTCGGATCCTTTTAACAACGACTTTTGTCCGCCTACCTGTCATCTTAGACAAAATCGATATGTCATTCTTGCAATTCTCTCTTACAAAGATCCACATGCCATAACGTCGATGAAAAATTTTACGCACCCGGTGTCGGCACGATTGCCTAGAGCACTTGACGAGCCTTTCACCAACCGGATTTCTTCAACAAGACTAGCTAAACTCTTCACACGGTACGTATAGGAACGCAAAGTGTCCATCGTGGAAACCTAGCAAACTGTGTTGCTGAAACAGGGTCCTGACGACATCGACAACTATCGTACAATCTGCATGCCTGTCTGTAATTTATAAACTAGTTCTCCTTGGCTGAGTATCACATGAAGGGCAAACTTGTGAACAAGGTCTAAGGATTTCGACCTAAGGAAAAAAAATCAAAAGTTCATAGAACGTGATGAAATCATCATGAGAGTATATTCGGGTGCGCTTCGTTGCGCGTGTCCGTCGAAACTAGGTCACGCCGCAGCCGTCGCAC